AGCTAGGAGACGAAGAATCGAGAGACGAGACAGATAGACATAGAGAGACAGAGAGAGAGACAGACAGAGAGAGAGAGAGACAGAGACAGAGAGACAGAGATAGAGAGAGAGTCAGAGACAGAGAGCGAGACAGAGACAGAGACAGAGACAGAGAGACAGAGAGAGAGACAGAGACAGAGACAGACATAGAGACAGAGACACACAGAGAGAGAGAGAAAGAGAGCGAGAGGAGTAGTGTGTGTGAGTGTGAGTGTTTTCTAAACCTTGTAGACTAGTACAAGTGGGTACAGCAGTAATTTACCAACCTCCCCACAAAGCAAACAACAAGGACTTTCATTTATTCATTTATAGGATTTAAATTGTCTTATGTTTGTCATATTTTTCCATTGGCATAAACTTCTTGATGATTAAGGAAAAATACAATAACTTTTGTTCATTCCAGTAACCAACAAAACTTCATAAAACCATAATTTGGGGTTTGGAGTAAGAGGTGGGGAGGGGGTTGTAAGGGGAGGGGGTGATGAGGGATGCAGTGAAAGTGTGTGTGTGTGCGTGCGTGTGTATGTGTGTGTGTGTCTGTCTGTGTGTGTGTATAGGTCTGTGTGTGTGTGTGTGAGTGTGTGTGTGTGTGTGTGTGTCTGTGTGTGTGTATAGGTCTGTGTGTGTGTGTGTGTGTGTGTGTGAGTGTGTGTCTAGGTCTGTGTCTATACTGTATTCCTAGCTATAATTTCTGGGAATGGCCTCTCAATGGGCTGGCAACACACATCTGGCTGTCGTTCCTTAAATCCCCAGTCAGTAGGAAAGACTGACTAATGCCCTAATGCTTTTATTACTAGGGTCATTCAGCTCTGTGTGTAACATTCAACCAGTATTTATGCTTGTGGAGGTGAAGTGATGTAGTAAGTTTATGTACAGTGTATAGTGTGTAGTAAATGTGTTTGGTCCGTATTGACTACTGTGAGGCGTTTAAAGGTGATTTAGTAACTGATGTAATTAATATGTAGTATGTGTATGTAGTACGTGTGTGTACTGTAGTATTTGTGAGTGTTTTATGATAAACCTGGTCTCACACAATGATGTATAGGTCTATGGTGTCAAAAACCTGAGAGACAGAAGCCCTGTTAATACCTGCAGTTAACGTCTTGACTTGATCTTGTCTGTTTACACTTGTAAGATCTGATCACAATCAGATACCAATGCCTCTTGCACTTGTCTACATTTGCACAATCAGAATGTGATTGTGCACGATCTGGACACAGGCCACATGTCAGAACCAGGTATAAACAGGGCTAGAGAGTCACTGACCAAGATATGACCAAGATATTTTTTGCATTACATTTTTTTAATATTCTTTTTTTTTTGTCATTTCATATCAAAAACATAAACACGTTTTTGCACAAAAATAAAACATTAAAATAATAAGACAAAGGCTTTCCCGAAATGAATAGAGAACATAACAAAGCAAGTTGAAAATATTTCAAACATTTCCGGTCCCTCACGCTACATTATATTAAGCTGTATAGGATTTCTTCTTCCAGTTTCGGTTTTAGTGGACAGATATATGAGCTTATGGTCCTTGGTTTCTATTGGATGAGTGAGAGCATGAAGAAAGACAGTAAAATAAGAGAAAGAATACAGGCAGTAGAAAATAAGATTGTGGTTGGACAATAGGGATGAATACTTGGACTGGATTGGATTAAAATATTGAATCCCCTTTTTTTGCACACACACACACACACACACATAACCACGCATGTGCACACACGCACACAGATAAACTGTTTTCTATCTACCAAGACATAAACTTGTGCAGTGAGATTGTAGAGTATTTCACAGAAATAGGCACAGAGAGACAGGCAGAGAGAGAGAGACAGAGAGACAGGTAGAGAGAGAGAGAGAGAGAAGGCAGAGAGAGAGACAGAGAGACAGGTAGAGAGAGAGACAGAGAGACAGGCAGAGAGAGAGACACAGGCAGAGAGAGAGACACAGAGAGACAGGCAGAGAGAGAGACAGAGAGACAGGCAGAGAGAGAGACAGAGAGAAAGGCAGAAGAGAGACAGGCAGAGAGAGAGACAGAGAGAGAGAGACAGAGAGACAGGTAGAGAGAGAGCAGAGAACGCAGAGAGAAGAGAGAGACAGCAGAGAGACAGGCAGAGAGAGAGAAGAGAGAACAGGCAGAGAGAGAGAGAAAGAGGAGACAGCAGAGAGAGACAGGCAGAGAGGAGAGAGAGAGACAAGAGAAGCAGCAGAGAGAGAGAGAGAAGGCAGAGGAGAGAGAGACAGAGACAGGCAGAAGAGAGAGACAGAGAGAAGGAGAGAGAGAGAGAGGCACAGAGAGGAGAGGAGAGAGAGAGACGAGCAGAGAGAGCAGAGAGGAGACAGAGAACAGAGAGAGGAGAGGAGAGAGAGAGAGAGGACAGCAGAGAGACAGAGCAGAAGAAGAGACAGAGAGACAGGCAGAGAGAGAGACAGAGAGAGACAGGCAGAGAGGCACACAGAGAGAGTCAGGCAGAGAGAGACACAGAGAGAGACCGAGAGAGAGACAGAGAGACAGGCAGAGAGGGAACAAGAAAGGAAAATAACAAAACAAAGAAGCGAAAGAAAAAGAAATAGAATGGTGACACATTTGTACTTCCCATTCTCCCAGACAGGAAACAAAGATAAATATATCAGAACAGTGCGATTTTCATTCCGTCTGAACTTTTCATAGTCTAGTTGGCTGCAGGCAAGCAAAACAGGCCCGAAAACACGGCCAAGAACCTTGTTGACCAAGACAGAGGGAAGGGTGAATGAAACAAAGAGAGAAAGAAAAAAGAAAATAAGAAAACAGAAGAAAAAGGGAGAGAGAGAATGACAGAGAGTCAGAGAGAGAGAGAGAGAGAGAGAGAGAGAGAGAGAGAGAGAGAGAGAGAGAGAGAGAGAGAGAGAGGGGGGGGGGGGGGGGGGGGGGGGGGGGAAGAAAGAAGCAGAGAGAGACAAAAACCAGAAACACAGAGAGAGAGATAGAAAGAGAGAGAATAAAATAATAAAAAGCTACTGGGGATATCATCGGCTAGCTGCGGCCATATCTTCAAAACGCCACGGTCAGTAGCAAGTCAAGGAAATGACTGGCTTCCACTCCTTCGACACATATAGTAAATTGCTCTCAAAGTCTTTGAACTCTCTTGCTTTTTTCAGGATGTGTGTGTGCCAATTTAATGGCTCAGGGTTTGCGGTGACCGAGCTTTGAGGACAGTTTTGGAGCTTGAGCGTTCAAAAAGAGACTAGGTTTGTGTCCCAAATGGCACCCTATTCCCCATAATACACTACCTCTGACCAGGGCCCATAGGGCTCCGTTCATAAGTAGTGTGCTATGTAGGGAATAGGGTGCCATTTGGGACACGGATTGGGGTTTCTGGGCTAACCATGTCCTTATGTAGCTTTGGCAGGCTATTGTATTTGGCTGACTGGTTTTAGACAGTAAAGAAGAATGAGAGTGGGAGTTTTGAGTTTAGAGTCTGTGCTGTTTCTGACACTTCTTATTCACAATGTGGCATTTGCAGACTAGGCTACATGCTTACATTTACTTTGTGAACAGTTTCTACATGATTGAAATTTGAAGTGTTTTGGGCAGGGGTAAATATAATCTAAATTCAGTAAATTCAGGTGAATTGGAATGACCTATTTAGCAATAGAAAAATCATAATTAAAAGTAAATGAGACCTTTCAATTCTAAACTTTCTGAATTGAAATTGACCCCAACCCTTTGCCATGTCGAGGGAACAGCACAATTCAATACAGCATCAACATTTCTGACTACAACAAGACTGGATAAACAGCATTACAGCAACAGAGAAATCCATGATAAAAATACATACAAAGCACACTACAAAAACATCATATGAAATCCGCTCGACAACAACAACCTTCACATTGCGTCCATCACAGCTACTGACCACGCCACTAAGGACAGAGGCTATGTCCCAAATGACACCCTATTCCCTATATAGTGCACTACTTTTGACCGGAGCACTTGTCTTTTTCTACTAGACTTTGCCGATAACTTCTGTATTGAACTTCTTATTCTTTACATACTTACTACGACTGTGATATGTGGTTGTCTCCCCTAGCTATCTTAAGATGAATGCACTAACTGTAAGTCGCTCTGGATAAGAGTGTCTGCTAAATGACTCAAATGTCAACATTTTAATGGTCAAAAGTAGTGGACTTAAAGGGAATAGTCGGTCCTCCTTGCCTCTTCTCTTCATTTAGTCCACGTGTCTTTCACAGCAAGTTGACCAACCCTGGTGGGGGTGTGTAGCGGGATGAAGGGAAATCTGACCGGTGGTGGTGTCGTCTAAAACTGTATTCTGTCCGTGGTACCATCTCTACAGAATCAGCATTTTAGTACCTTTGGTTTAGACTCTGGGAAGGGTTGTAATGTTGCAGAGAGTTTCTCTTCTCTTCAGTGCAAGTTCTCCCAGGGGGCAGTTGGGGAGGGGTGCCTTGTTTGTTTCAGGAAGTGCTGAACAGTGTACAGAGCACACACACTCACACAACCTATGTTTCTGCACCCCACCTCCACCCCTCCCAGCCTTGACTCAGTGCCTTCCCTATACCTCCACAAACCCTGCTCTCCCAATCTCCTGATCCAGCAACAGGATTGCAACTCATTCAATGCAGTTCTTTTAAAAACATCAACATTGCAAAAATAAAAGCATCATTATTACAGCATATCATGTCAATGCAAGAAGGCACTTCCGTTTTCAGTCCGATTATAAGATAGACCCTTGTTGGCATGGCGATTGCACTTTAGGTTTAAATGCTTGTTACATTTCTATCAACTTGAACTAAAACGCACCCCTTTCACTGTCTCATAATGGTAGAGTCCTCCCATCCACTTAGAGATTACGGGGCGTACCGTTAACCTCTACAGGGGTAGATACTTCTGTTCCATTCCATAGCTCTGAATGTCATTGAGTGCAATATTCAGAAATCCATTAAGTCAATGGATTGAGTTTCTAGAAATACGATGGCTTCAAGGATGCCACATTATTATTTGATGAACAGTGCCCCTGTCCCTGTCCCTGCATGAGGGGGACCTCATATTCTAAACCACCATTTTGTGGAAGGGGATGTGACGATCCTCCATTTTGTGGCTGGGTCGGGATGGAGGTATGACAGGGGGAAATATCTGCTCCCTTTTGGGGTAGCATGCCCCCGTTCCCCCCGCCGTTCTCCAGACAAGTCTTAAGGCCCTCCAGTTCCATTGGTCCCATCCCACCCCCTTCCAGCTCCATGTGGGCCGCCTTAGCCCGTCTCCTCCGGAGGAAAAGAACCAGGACGGCCACCACCGCAACCCCCGTGACCAGGGCGAGAGCAGCCAAGGCTGGGATGAGGGTGTAGGTGAGCTGGCTCTGATCATCCACCTGGGGCTCCAAGGACGAAGCCTGGGGACCTCCCTCAGTACGAGCCTCCATACAAGACCCACCCTCGGTAGGGCTACCTCCACCACCTCCACCCCCATTCACCCTCTCTCCCAGGGGGCTGGCGCACACCGAGTAGGTACAGTTGGGCCGGAGCCCTCGGAGGGTGTATTCTGGGTACGAGGCGGGGACGCTGAGGTACATGGGGCGCCGGTCGGGCCCTGAGAGGTTCCGGTAGGTCAGCTTAATCCCACGGATGTGCGGCCTCGTCTCGAGGAAATGGTGCAGGTCGAGGAGGATGGACGTGGAGGTCACCTGACGGGAACTGATGTCATTGGGATCAGAGGTTACAATGGGGGCGACCATGGAGGCCAAAACCTCGGGGGCGGAGGGTTGGGGCGGGGGGTCGTTGTGGTTAGACGACTCCTCCAGGTTCTCGCAGTACAGGCCCGTAGTTCTGCGTGGACAGAGACATCCAAGCTGTCCCAGAGGATCGAAACGGCACGTACCCCCATTGAGGCAGATGTTCGGCGGGCAGATGTGGCCCTCGTCCCCCTGGTCCCTGGAAGTGGAAGTCGGAGAAGCTGGAGGAGGGGGAGGGGGACGACTCTCAATGCCTGTCTCCGTTGAGGATGGTTCATCACTAGGGAATGGCGGAGGTGGGGGGAAGGCGTTGGTATGGGTGGTTCCAGGGGATGTAGTCGGAATGGGGGGTGCGGACGTACTCCCCTCCTCTAGGGCACTCGTCATGACAGTGGTCGTAGCTGGACAGCCGAAATCTTGATGGTCCAGCTCCGCCAGCACCTTCAAATCAAATCTAACTTTATTTGTATCCCATTTTATAAAAGCCAGCAACTAAATGTGTTTCACAGGAAACATTTATAAAATATATTTAATATTTAATATATTTAATACATGAAATGAATAGATAAAAAAATTATAAAAATACATAAAATATTAGAATAAAAAATAAATAAGACAATACCTTGCCAGCATTCACCGGTGGGAAGTGGCACCTTGTCTCTTCTGTGCGTCCCAGATCCACGTTCTTCTCTTTCAGCCAGCTAGGGAACCAGGCCAGAATACAGAGACAATTGAAGGGATTCTCGGCCGCCGTGAGGTGCCCCAGCCTGGGGAAGAGCTGGAAGAAACCCTGGGGCAAGCCCTGGAGGTTCAGCCCACTGATATCCAGCTCCTGGAGACCCACCAGACTCTGGAAAATAAGAAGAAAAAGAAGAATACTTTATTGTCCAATGTTCACAAATGTCCAACAGAAATGTGACTTCTGGTTTATCCCAACCCCACTAAAAAACATACAAACACAGGGAGTTTGGATAGGTTGGACCAGAAGCTTGCCATAGTAAAGCCCATGGAGCAGTTTCAGGGAATAAGCCGTATGTTATCGACCCATCAATTACAGGACTATTTGACACATTTTTAAGAAAATGTATTTACCTGGAAGTCCTCGTTCCGGAGCTCCCCAATGGGGTTGGCAGCCAGGCTGAGCCTGATCAGCCCCCGGGTGGCCTTCAATGCTTCAGGCATCCCCTCCAGCTGGTTCTGGGACACATCAAGGTCATGGAGGTTCCCCAAGGAGGCCATCAGATCCGAGTCCAGGGTGGTGAGCCCCAACGCAGCCACTTTGAGCGACTCGAGGTGGGGGGTCTGGAGGTCTTGGGGACCCAGCTTCGGGAGAGAGTTGAAGCTGAGATCGAGGAGGAGAAGCCTGGGGAGACGGAGCATCGGGAGACCGGTCAACTGGTTCCCCTGGAGCTTCAATTCCAGAAGATCCTCCAGACCCTTGAAGGCCTCCGATTGGATGCTCTTGATACGGTTGCCGTGGAGATACAGCCTCTCGAGTTGCACCAATCCGGAGAAGCTATCCTTGGAGATGTGGGTAATGAAGTTTGCAGACAAATCGAGATTCCTCAGCGAAGATAGCGGTTCGAAGACCCTATCCGGGACCTCCATGAGTTCATTCTGGGACAGGTCCAACATCTCCAGTTCCCCCAGGCCTAAAGAAGAAGAAGAATATTATTTTATTTTCCAATGTATATGGAATTACAATGGAAAAACGTGTGTTTTACTTTATTCCAACCCCTCGAAAGACACACATAGAGGTTGAAAAAGGTTGGAGCAGAGGGCAGCAGTTTAGGGGTTAAGTGCCTTGCTCATGGGCACAACAGCAGGAAATGACATCCAGGACACTGATCCAGCAACACTCCATTTGCCGGCCCACTCCTAAACAATTGTTTTCCTTTTACACATGGGATTAGAACTGGCAACCTTCCAGTTGCTAGCCCACTTCTCTAATCTCAACGCTACCTACCTGTGAAGTCATCCTGGGCTAAAGATCGATGCCGTTCTGGAAGACGTAGAGATTTTTCAAGGAGGAAGGGAGGCCGCGGGGGACGACAGTGGAACGACGCTGGATGCAGAAGATTGAACCCTGGGCCTGACAGGAGCAATCCTCTGGACAGACACTGGTGAGAACAGAGGAAGAGGAGGAGAGGAGGAAGAGGAGGAGGAAGGGCGCCATGGTGGTGGAGTCCTTGTGTAATCTGAAACACAAAGAAAAATAAAGAAATGTCAGTGTTGGTTGTTTGAGACTTTTCTTGGAAGGAAAATGTGTCATATTTTCAGAGTAACGAATCAGCAGTGGTCAAAAACCTGGACAAGATTAAATAACTTATTTTTTAGCCTAATTTCACCACGCACAAGTCTATTGGCTGTTTAGTGCGGTCAGAGTCTGATTATTCTTATCCTAATGTTTCAGTATGCACACACAAACACACAATCCAAGCCATCAAAAAACTCTCCCTTCCCAATCCACCACTGGAGAAAAATCCCCCATTGTTGAATTCCCTCATGACATCACAGAACACAACAAGTAGAATCAAACGCAGTAACAGACCCCATGACCTCTCTGACTGGGTCTCCCTCCTTATTCCCCTCAACCAGAGCATACAACCATGACCCCTTACAGACTGCAACATCACTATGATGAAACCCTGCACAGTCACACACACAGCCCCTTCATAGTGGCTACATTTACTGTTTGCTTGGTGAGCACACACATAGTACATCCCCTGGATGAAGTGGACCTGAGTCCTGAGCGAGGTCCTGTTTTAGCCCACCCACAGTCACCACATCCTGGGGTGATTGAGAAGCATGTCCAGCCTCTCCCCAGTGTCTATGGCATTGGTGTGTGTGTGGTGTGTGTGTGTGTGTGTGGTGTGTGTGTGTGTGTGTGTGTGTGTGTGTGTGGTGTGTGTGTGTATGTTTATGGCCCATGAAAACCGTCCTGGCTTTAAACAGCTGGACACCCACGAAAACACGGGTACTGCATACAAACACAAACTATGGCTTTGTGAGTGTGTATTGGAGTGTGTATCACACACAGATGTATGCACACACTCCCACAGACAGAAACACACACACACACAAACATCTTCATACAAACGTATGGGCACATATACAGACATGCACGCCCACACACGGCTACTCCATACAAACACGTTTTCTCAAAATGGACTCAATCACACACGTTTGGCCACACACCCCTAGCCAGACACACATTCACCATAAACACAGACCTTACTATGCTGGCTCCACGAGGGGGGACAAGAGAGAGAGCTAATCGAGGAACAAAAAGGAGAGAGAGAAGAGATAGAGAGAGAGAGAGAAGAGAGAGAGAGAGAGAGGAGAGAGAGAGAGAGAGAGAGAGCGGAGAGAGAGAGAGAGAGAGAGCGAGAGATCAGCGAGAGAGAGAGAGAGAGAGAGAGATAGAGTAGAGAGAGGAGAGAAGAGAGAAGCGAGAAGAGAGAGAGAGAGATAGAGAGAGAGAGAGATAGAGAGATAGAGAGAGAGAGAGAGGGACACTCTACTCAACCGTTTCTATTGACCTAGGCAAGGATCAACCACAGTTACATACAGTATGTATGCATCCCAAATGGCGCTCTTTTCCCTACTACTTCTGAACAGGGCCAATGCACTATATAGGGAATAGGGTGCCATTTGACATGAAGCCAGCATGTGTATACAGTATATAAGTGTATTGACAATGTATGGAAATCTTAAAGCCTTCCCACATCCCTTTTAGACCTTTAGCTTGTAATAATAAATATCTCTGAAATGTAGAGTTCGAGGATTTGCTGTGAGTGAGTGTGTGTGTGTGTGTGTGTGTGTGTATGTGTTTTAATAATAAAGCAGGTTGATCTGTGTAATCTATAACATTAGGTTCTGGGTGGGTAGCGAGATGGGAGTAGATGACTAAAGCCCCTGACGTGCAGTCCTAAATCTAGACCTAGGATCAGCTTACTTTCCACAAGTCCTGAACATAACCATTAGGGAGGAAATGTAAATCTGACCTAAGATCAGTGTCTGAGGGGCGACTCCATCCAACCCCTATTTTACAGTGATCTCATTCTGCAGGCCTACAGTATATACAGTAAAACCTCATGGGGGCCTTAGGCCTAGGGCTGTCCAGTGAGATGCCTAAGGGGAAAAGGAAGGTGCATGAAATGGGGTTTGGGGTGGTTAAATTTACAACCAGTGTGTAGTGTGTAGTGTGTGTGTGTGTGTGTGTGTGTGTGTGTGTGTGTGTGTGTGTGTGTGTGTGTGTGCTGTAGCAACAGTTTCAATGGGACGATATACTCTGTGATTCACCTCAGTGGAGAAGAAAATAAACAGTGTAGTCACTGACCTCTACCTCTACTACACCTTCTCATGACCTCCTCTACCTCTTCTACACCTTCTCATGACCTCTACCTCTACTACACCTTCTCATGACCTCTACCTCTTTTACACCTTCTCATGACCTCTACCTATTTTACACCTTCTCATGACCTCTACTCCCTCTTCTACACCTTCTCATGACCTCTACTCCCTCTTCTACACCTTCTCATGACTTCTACTCCCTCTTTCTTTTTTCTTTTTCTCTGTCACTTTCTTTCTCACACTAGCAATCACATATACATATTTTTCTTCTCTTTTGTCTTTTCCTCACGTGCTTTTAGTTTTGTATTATAGCAGGGTAATGTTGAAACTCATAGGCCTATCAGTTCCAAAGAAAAGGTCAATTTCCTGATGAAAATGTGCGTGCGCTCCTAAATTCTCCTAAAGGGTTTATAAGAAGGGCATTTCAAGGTAGCGTATCTCAGTGAGACTTGCCCTCAGTCGGGTCAGGGAACACTTCGAGAGTAATTGGCGAGGTAAAAGTCCCCCTTATCTCAACTGGGAGAGACTAAAGGTTTCACAGCAAACAACAAGGCTACCTACAGTACATATCTCTGTTCAGCAAAGATAAGACTGATAAATTAAAGGTTGTTGCTATTCTAGATGCAGGGGTGGAATCTCAGTTTTCCTTGGTGGTGTTTCAGCTGTACCATTATCTTGAGTTACTTCTTAGTATCCTACTGTCAGCAAGAATACACTACAAGTACACATGTATTTTACATGCACATGCAAACACACACACAAACACACACACACACACACCCGTACAAAAGCATGAACATACATTCTAATTCTTGCTCGCTCTCTCTCTCCGTCTCATTCACTCCCTCTCTCCCTCCCACTCTCACTGCCTTGCTCTTTCTCAGTGAACCCTGCACTACTCTCTTCCCGTTCCTCCCTCCTTCCTTCTCTTCCTCCCTCCTGCCCTCTGCATGGCTCCTGAGGTTGGAAGTTGGATAGAAACCCGAGACGTTTCATTAAAGTGAAGAAGTGAAGGGGCCAACCTCCGGCCTCCTGCCCTCCTTTACCTCCTCCCTCATCCCCCCTTTTCCTCATAACAGGAGAGATCTGGGCCTGATCCGGCTGGCGCGGCTGCAATTTGTAATAACCCCCCAAAATCCATCTTGATCAAGGAGAGAGGGAGCGAGAGGGAGCGAAGAGAGAGAGAGAGAGAGAAAGAAAAAAAGAAAGAAAGAAAGAAAGAAAGAAAGAAAGAAAGAAAGAAAGAAAGAAAGAAAGAAAGAAAGAAAGAAAGAAAGAAAGAAAGAAAGAAAGAAAGAAAGAAAGAAAGAAAGAAAGAAAGAAAGAAAGAAAGAAAGAAAGAAAGAGAGAGATGTTGTTTTTTATTTATTCTCACATTTGTTTCTTGTTTATTTCACTTGCTTTCAATGTAAACATATGTTTCCCATGCCAATAAAGCCCATTTGAATTGAAATGAATTGAATTGAGAGAGAGAGAGCAAGGCCTCTAAGGTACAACAAAGGTGAAGGGGGAGATTAGAGAGAGGGATGGCTGAGGGGTAACAGGGTTTGCATAATAGTCTTTCCTCTATACATCTGTCTCCGTCACATCCCTCACGGCACAATGCCTCTCCCCCTTGTGACCTACTTTTTCTGTGTATGTACTGACATGTACAGTATGTGTAACTGATAGATGCACACTCACACACACACACTACGTGTTAATGTTTTAAATGTATGTCAATTGTAAAGTGTTTTGTCTGTAATGTCATTTTCATTATGCGTCAGACCCCAGTAAGACTAGGTGTCGCCATTGGCATCGGCTAATGGAGATTCTAATAAAATCTAAATCTCTCTCTCAACCTGATACAACAAGCCTTGTGAGTTACTTCTTAGTAGTAGTTACTTCTTAGTTACTTCTTAGTAGTAGTTACTTCTTAGTTACTTCTTAGTAGTAGTTACTTCTTAGTTACTTCTTAGTAGTAGTTACTTCTTAGTTACTTCTTAGTAGTAGTTACTTCTTAGTTACTTCATAGTAGTAGTTACTTCTCAGTAGCCAACTCCAGGCTCTTCCTGCTTTCTCAATCAGTCAATCAGTCAGCTGTTCATTCTAACTTTTGTTGATGTTGTCAAAGTCAAAACTAAATAGAGCTATGCCATACATTAGGGTTGCTTTGAGTCTGTTGGTTGTTGTTGCCATGGAAACCAAAAACAGGTGTCACTCACAACATCGTCAGGCTCATACCTGAGGGTTAATGGTAAAGAGGGCACGAC